TTTCCCAAGATTTCTTTAATCCCTTTTTCAATGGAACAATGCTAGGGCCACAGGGGAAATGTGACTTTTAATCATTCTGCTTGTTCTTGTATAGCCGCAGGCTTGGGGGAAGCAGGCTGGTATGTGTGTGGATCCTGTTTCTTGCAAAAGCCACCTAATGAACATTGTATCATATCAGCTTTGACCAATTTGGTTTTTTTGCTGATAACCACATAGTGTTTTTTTTGCTGATTCATAATGATTCATAGTGTTATGTATTGCTGATTCATAGTGCTATGTAAGAGAGACCTGTAAAGCGCATGCGCTGAAGATTTCCGGTAAAGACCAACCTTTTCTCAGAAATAGCTATGAATATGTATTAGCAACAGGTATATAAACCAAAGATGAGAACTGTACGGTGTACGTCTTGGTGGAACGGAGACTCCCGGCGCACCCAGTGCTGTTTGCTTGTCTCTATTCATTCAATAAATTGTGAACTTTAATTAGAATTCTGTTTGAGACTAAATCATTTATCACATGAGTATAGCAAACTTGTTTAAAATGATGGGATTTTCAAGAGAGTCTGGAGGATCTGGGCACAATCTATGCTGCACCACATGTTTTCACTGGTGATGTGCTCACCCACTCTACAACTGGGGTGAAGGAGCAGGAGATGATGTGGGTACGTGCTCTCTAGAGGGAACACACCTGCAGATGGCTTGTCAGTCTCAAAACAGTGAAACCAGAGCATGACATTCACGCTCCATTTTTGTAGTCATTGACGTTTCCCTTCTCATCAGGCTGTTCCCTGTGGTGTGTGGGGGAGCCCTGCAAGCAGTGGGCAGCGCTTGCTCATTGATGGTATTTTATTGCACTGGGTTTTCCTATTGCCATTTAGCCATGATTTCTTTCAATTTGGCAAAGCTGAGTACTGCAGGTGCCTGGTCAACTTACACAGTGCCTCTTATTCATGGAGTCTCTGGCATGTCTTGCTTCTTGGAGTAAGGACAATGTGCATGATATGCCATATCTCTGCTATGGAAAGGACAATCTTGCTCAAACCTTGTGAACCCCTCAAAAGCCAGCACCCCAACATCTTTCACTGCTGCTTCGTGGTCCCTCCCTGGCCAGGGCTGAAAGAGATGTGAGCAGGAGGTGAGGACAAGGAAAGGTGCAAAGTGTGACCAGACCGGGACATCATCTTTGTAACTCAGATTTGACAGTGATAACTGGACTGGCTGGTGGAGAGAAGCATCATAAAGACACAGTGTCCAGATCTCCTTTTGAAGTCTAAAATCCACCTGGGCAACAGCTAGCTTTCAATTTTATGTTGTTAAACTCTACACACACTGACTCTTGTTTTGGGCTGCAAGTTGTTCAGGATGGGTGTGCAGGGGACCCTCTTGACCCAGTGTCGGCACTAATTGTCTGCCAAGCTGAACGAGGGCAGGAACCTACCTTAAATGCCCTATTTCACCTTCTCTCTCCACTGAACATCTCATGAACCTCCACACTTGGTACTTAATTTAGGCACTTGAGTGAGGCAACTCCGTAGATTTAGTTTGCTGTGCCACAGCAGAGGCAGTCACAGCACTGTAACCTAGTGACAATAATCTAACTGTAATAAATGAACAATAATCTGGGATTGCTTTAAATTGTGCAGCAGTGATAAACAATTATTTAGTTACAGATAGCATTTATGACAGCAGCTCTATTCATGTCAGGGTATAATTAAGTGGTCTGTGAAGATGTAGCCATTGCACAGGAGGATTCACATATTGCTTTAGACTGGCAGGCTTTTAAAAGTCTCTTGGGCCAGATTGTTTATTTCTTTGCACCTTGTATCATCAATTGTGCCAGAGGAAAAATCAATTCAATCAAAGCAGTCACTTTGCAATGGAGGAGATTACTTAACATGGTGAGCGGAAGTGAAAAGGCTGCACTGTACTGCCTTCAGTCCTTCCTCAACCTAATTCATCAGCTTATGTCTCTTCCTACTGTCTGTTCAAGAATTACTGGTTAATTAGATTATTAACTACTGACCCACTCTCTATCTTAATTATGAGTTGGTATTTGTGACAGACTGGAAAAAAAGGAGTTTTAGGCACTCCTGAAAGTAAGATCACATCTCTAAATTCGACTATTATACTTCTTATAATGACTGTATTCTCACTCTGTAGTAATTTTCCCAATGCAGACGAGCAAAGATATTTGGAAAGTAATACAGACCACTGTAGAAAACGATGACTTTAATAATAATGACTTAGTCATTAAATGACTTAGTCAATAAATGAATTATTCACAAATTTTATACCCTTTCATCTGTGGGTTACTTGTTTAAAGTCAATATGAAGGTGAACTTGGCTTAAAATGAGCATTTTTTTAGGGATTCAAAGGTTTCTGCACCTGTGGGTTGGGCATATCAACTCAACTGTACCTGCAGTTGGTAGGAGTCAGCAGGCTATTTCATAGACATAAAAACTGAGTGGATGCTAATCACGGGGATTTTTACTGCCTACCTCAATGCTATGAGAAGATATTTATTTACTGCAAATTACTTCAGCATGAGCTTAACTGAAAGCATGTGAGTATTCTCAAGGAGATGAACAGGTCTTTAGCGTGTTAAAAAGCACCTGCTGGGTATGGAAAATACTGTTCCCAAAACTGAGTGTTTTCTTTGCAGTATTTCAGCAGGGAAATAGGTCAGACTGTTTTCAGCTGTAGGCCACGCAGAAACTTCCTCTCCCAGCTGTATGAAAGAGGCCCTTGGACACAGGAAAGAATTCCCTTGGCATGGGATGCCATTTCCCATAGGGGCCTCATGCCTTAGCAAGGTGAAGTCAAGAGAAGAGGAGAAGGAGGGATTGGGAATGACTAAAGATAACTGTTATTACCACACTCGTATAGTGCAATATTACTACAGCAATAGTAATTTGTAAAAAATAATCCCCGAATATGTAATTGCATCTGGTCCTCGCAGCAAGTCGTAAGCTCCACATGGTTGAGCAGCTGAGGGGTGGAGCCAGGCTACCTGCTGGGGCTTTAAACTGCCCTAGCGGTACCCCGCTGGACTACTGCTGCTGTCATGGTTGGAGGGATGGTAGAGTCTTTGAGTAGGCTCTGCATTATCCTTGTCTTTCTAGGAACAAAGCAACTAAACATAAAGAAGCAGCGCCTTACATCGCCTGATTTCTTGTAAACATATGATACAGTCCTTCATATACCAAATGAGTACTACCGCTAGTAAAACTTTAAATATTTACAAATATATTTTAAAAATCATCAAGTCTTGACCTCAGATTTTAAAAATCTTTTACATGTACCAAAAGTATCACACTCTGTATTTCATGAACAATCTTAACTCTGCCTCTGACTCAATCCTGCCCCAGGGTGGAAATCTTCTTGACACAAGGCACCAAGGAGGCTTTTGAAATTCATTGCCAATTCCTTACCAGGGAGATCTTTAGGTGAATCAGATAAGGGCCCTACTGTATCCCTTAAAACCAGACTTTGCATGTGCATTCAATTCTTTTGTGTGAATGCAATGAGTAAGAATTGAACTGAACTCCTCTCCCAGCCAATATAACTTACCACTTCCTGAACTAACAGGGATGGTTTGAGAAAAGTCTGTGGGGGTGCAGAGAAGGAGGAAAACAGTGTAGCATTTTATGAAATCTGTGATCATGTATTATTTGTTTCTACTCCATAAACTACTGGTTTGATAGTACCTTCTGGCTGTTCTCTTGATGAATGAGGTGGGATCACTGAAACAGGGAGCAGAGCCAGTATTATGGGGCCTTTGTAGTCACGGGCAAAATCAGTTTAGTAGGAATTGTGTGTGCAACACACACACACACACACACACACACACACGTACACACATGCATGCATCGAAAAAAAGGACTGAGCATTCTTAATTGATTAAGAAACAAAGACTCAAGTTACTACCCTCATGAACAAAAAATGTTAACTATGTTTGAGTAATGAATATATCTGGTGAAACTGCAAACCAAGTGCAGCTGTTATGCAAACACAAAAAGCAGAAAATTTGTGTTTAATTGCTCACTCAGCTATATTAATTGGTACTGAAAAGAAAATACTGTTTACTGTGTTGATGTGAAATGGAAACTTCAACAATAAACTCTATTTCATCAACAAGATTTTTCTAATGAACCTTTACCTATCAAATTCCAGGTTTTCACTTGTCCATCATTACCCCTGAAGAAAATGGGGTGTTTGAATATGTAACATAAAACAGGATCATATTTAGGACATTACAGTAGGTCCTGATACATTTAGTTGCCTTAGGGGAAGTCAGAATTACTTAAAATGAGGAGTCCTGCATTGAGCAGAGCATTTAGCAGCCACAGCCAGAGGAATGCACTTTATAAACATCAAGTGGCATTTACTTCTGAAATAGTTTATGTTTTAAAGGACTATTTTTGATAGGCATAGTTCTTGGTACATGAAGAGTGGAGAAAACGCACAATTAATTATTTTTTTGGTTGGCAGTAGGCTATATGATCAGGTTAATAAAGACAATTCCCTGGAGTTAGAAAAATGTATCTCAGCTCAGAACCACACCAAATCTTGTAAGCAAATTTTTGACTAATAAAAACTGTGCGATAAATGTATGGAATTCAGGGAATGTATTTATCTTGGAAGCTTTTGGGATCTTGTTCTTATGTTTCTCTGAAAAGCATGTAGCAGACTTCTTTTTTGGTGTTACAGGATAGGACAGGTACTGGGAAGCATTTCTGAAACTGAAGGTGAGAGGACCTTGAGGCACTTAAGACTGCAACTTATTACAAAAACTACAGAATAAAAAAGAAATACTGTGATACATTTGAACTTAAATAACTACATAAGAAGTAATTTTATGGCAAATAACTCAGAACGCAGTACAAATCTCTCTATGCAAATTTTGTGGTAAGTTGTGACATTTCTTTTAGGGACTCAAGGAAAAGAAGTGAGGGTAGGAAAGTAACAGTTATGCTGTTCAGCATCAAGTGCTGCCTTACCTTCACGCTTTTTCAAAGCCTTACAAAGCTTCTCCAGCTCCATCGGACCCAGAGTTCCATGGAGTGAAAGTGATGAGTGGCTCCCCCTCTACAGCTCTACATGGAAAAAGCAAACAGAAAGTGCCAGAGTAAGAGTTGCTGCCAGCAATTTCAGGGGGCCAAATTTTATATCCCAACATACTCGGGGGGGGGCGGGGACGACACGACACGGACATTCATCTCTTAGAATGTTATTACTAGAGGTTTTATCGGCTGCCCTCTAGTGAGACTGCTCAGTGACACACTCTCGGACCTCGGTGCAGGAGATTGCTGTGCAGGAGTCAAGATGCTGTGCCAGCATTTAGTTCCCAAGCAAGGCACTAGATACATGTGGCGGCAGGAAAGGGAAGGTGTGAGGAAGAAATATCCCGGGAATTAATCAGCATTAACATGATGGTGATTAAAGGGTGAAATTCTCATTTAAAATACGGGAAACAGCCTGTAGTAGGTTTTCACAGTAATTTTACATCCTAAAAATCAAGGATGGAGGATTGTTAATTGTTACCCATGAAAGATCCTCTTACCCAAGTATTTTAAAGTCTGATTTAGATAGCTAAGTGTGAAACTTGTTATAGGCCACCATTTCTTACAAAATGTATGATTTGAATGTAAGTTCATTCTTTCTTCACTTCAGATACCCCAGATCCCTATGAAATGGTGATATTCTCACAGCCTTTGTGGTCACATCTTCCAGTACACTTTGACTTTCTAGGTAACCCTTACCTAACACAACTTATGTTCAACGCCCAGTGTAGGAGTCATATTTGCTCAAACCTGGAGCTGGTCAGGCCTACAGCAGCAGGGAAGCAGGTCTGCAAACCCAAAGGGGCCAAAATTACTGCTTCCACACCTGGACATGCTGCTGACATGTTTGATTTAGCTCACATTTGACTCTGGAAATAAAGAGGTAATTTTATCAGGTTGGGCCACATGAAAGAGTTTTGATAACTCTAGGAAATGAGACAAAGGCTCTTTCTTCTGAGTTGCTTTCTGCTCCTATGACCCACATTTTCATGCAAGAACATAATTTTCCAGCACCCACCTCATGTGCAGCGGCCTTTCTTGTACCCAGACCCATAAGGGACACAGATGCTCTGATTTTATTTCTTTCTAGTACTATCCTTTTCCTTCTCCCAACTCCTTGCTCAAGCTGTGCTTACACAAAAGGCTTTGAGTATCAGTGACAGTGGTGTGTGAAGTGCACACACTATAAAAAGGCTCTGCATCAGCACAGGCATGTGTTCTATATTAGTCAGTGCTGGAAAGGATGGGTCAAATCTATATCATCAGAAAGCTGGACAAAGCCATTTGCTCAACACCTTTGGCAATGGATGCGTTGTAATAAAATATTATTTTATAGCACTTCCAGTTTTGTTTGCCATAATCACAGTTTGGCACACTTCCTCTACCACAGCAGGCAAAATGCAATTAAATGGTGTCAGATGTAAGGGAAAAAGAATGAAATTTTTCTTCCATAAATCATAAAATCCTAAGTATTTTCAATCTTGTAATAGGCTTGTAAACCAAGCCCCTGCTTACATTACTTTATCTTTATGAAGGTGATAAAGAAAACATAACACAGTGTACTTGATTATAAATTATAATTTTATGAGCATCAAAAAAATGCAAACTTGCAAAGCTTATGTTCATGTTTGTGTTCACATACTTAAGTGCCAGCAGATGTTCAATGATCAATAAACCACAATTTATATACATTATTCTGAAGCATGCTTGATCATAAATACCAGCTAGGAATGGCTAACTTCATTCTGAGTAAGTATGACAAGAATAGAATATGAAGTTACAATACAGAATGCTATTGTGGTAAGTTTTATTTCAACTCCAGAAATAAAACATTTATTGATTTTCATTGAGACTGCTGGGACAGAACCCATGATTTAGAAGCTAAACTGTAGATTTATGGAAACAGCAAGTGGCTAAAACTAATTTCAACATTGTCAGGCATGGTTGACTGAAAAAGATCTTGTTTATTGTGGTAAACTAAACATCCCCAGAGACTATAAGCTTTGAAACAAGGTGTCCTTGAATAGTGGTGTTTGTGTTCATAATGATAAACAAACATACCTTTATTGGGGAGTGGCCACTGGTTTACACAGAGATCACAGCAGGTTCAGAGAGGTACTTGATTTCAGGACTAACTCTCCAAGCTTAGTGTATGTAGTGTAAGATACTGCATATAAGCTCAAGTTCACTTGAGCACAGTATGATTGGAAGAACAAACTATTCTGAAACCAGGTGTCTGTCAGGTGTAATAAAAGATGAGTTAACTAAATTTGAAAAAGGGAACCAAAGGGATCATTTTCTGTACTTCATATGTTAAATAAGGTGAAATATTCAAACAAAAGAAGCAAAATAGAAAAAGTGATATATTGCCTTGGTTTTTCCTGTCCTTCCATTGCATTTTGCCTGTAAAAATAGGAAACCCAGCAGAATAAGACAGCAGCAAATTGAGACCAGCCCATTTCCTTTCAGCTGCAGAGTTGCTTCACCACTGCAACTACAGTTTCTGGCTTTCCCAATCTCTGCACTTTACTCCCTGCCTTGGCTAAGAAAGGGGCGTTTGATCAGTCAGGGGTTTTAACTTTGCTTGCATTGTTGCCTGTTCCTTCAGCAAGCAAAGGCAGCTCTGAGGTTGCTGCTGCCCATCCCCTCCCAGCACGGTCACTGTGCAACCCCTGCCTTCCACTGCGTCAGTGACGGATTTGCATTCAGGAGAAACAGGTTAGGCTGCTTTCTGGCTCCTCTGAGAACAATTGGGCATAGTTACAACCCCCAGGTCATTTTTCAAAGGTACCTCTTTCTGCACACTAAAAATTGTTTTTTGTGGTTTTTGTTTTTCAAATATAATCCAATTTTTTTTTTCTCTTTTGCTGAAACACTTCCCTTTCATTGGTAGCTGTAGCTTAAATTAAAAAAAATCCCAGCCTGCAGAATTAATCTATAACTCTTTGCAACTGCCTTACATGGTGAAGATTCTAGCCTGATAATTATTTTGCTTTGTGACTTAAAATTGTTTTTTCTTGATATGTTATTCTTGGTTAAGACTAAGTCTAAGAAAGCATAGCCACGAAATTTTCAGCTGCAAATATTCTTAATATAAGTCTCCTCTGAAACATGATGAATTGTGGAGCTCAGAGATGCTTTTATTTTCACTGCAGATGTTTATTTTTGCCATACAGCCTTCTGAAAGGGTGTGTGTTGTACTTTTTGGTTAAAGCATTCATGTACAGGCAATGTCTGCATCCAGTTCTACATAATATCTGTCAACAAATTCACTAGTGATTGTGAAAAGAATTTTCTTCCAACACATTTTTTTCTGGCTTGTCCAGCTACAAGCCTTCTTTCATTCCAAAATCAGTCCTAATTCAGAATCCACAAACTCAGTGGGCATCATGCTGCTAACTACACTGGGCTTTGAATTGGGTTCTTACTACTGTGCACTGAGACCATATTGCTAGGGTGCTTTTTAATCATTTAGTGACATATGGCTCAGCTATTTCTACCTAACCCACCTGTAATAAATTTCCTATCTCAAGAGGCTGTAGTATATTTTTTATATGTAATTCTCCTGCCAAAGAGTCTCCTGAGACCCCATACATGCTAACACATTGATAAAGGTTTTCACACTGAAATTAAAACCACATCCTTTCCCAAAAGCACTGGCATATTTTTACTGGAGCAGTCTGAAGTGCTGGCATGACAAATGTCATGCCACCCTCAAGGCTGCGACCTTGTTTCGCAGAAATGCACAATAGAGAGTTGAATTGGCACTTGGAGGGAAGGCACAGAGTGAAACCCCAAGATTCTATGCAGAGAAGAAGGCTTTGCTGCTGGTT